TCTTGTATAGTTATCAATGAAGAGCACAAAGTACTAGCTTTTGTTGAAAGATTCGATGTTCATGAGGCCACATACATCTGTGCGAAGTAGCTCCAACTTTTCTTTTGCTCTCCAAGTTGACTTTGATGAGACTGGTTGCCTATGAGACTTTCCCAATTCATAGTTACCACATACAGGATTTTCTTACATTGAGATTTGCAGATCTCTTGTCAAGCTTTAAGACTGCATTTGCTTCAAAGAAACAAGATTAAAGTTTTCATATCTTCCACATCACAATTATGAATCCTCATATTTGCCATAAAAAGATTTGACGTTGAAAGAGGACAAAGTATTTGTTTTTGTTGAAAGATTTGTTGCTCATGACACCACATACATCTGTGTGAACCAGCTCCAACTTTTCTTTTGGTCTCCAAGTTGACTTTAATGGGAATGGTTGCCTGTGAGACCTTCCCAATTCACAGTTGCCATATGCAAGATTTCCTTCTATTGAGATTTGCAGATCTCTTGTCAAGCCTTGAGACTGCATTTGCTTCAAAGAAACAAGATTAAAGTGATCATATCTTCTATGCCACAATAATGAATTCTCATATTTGCCATAAAAAGCACTATCATTTGCTGAATTCCAATTTAAATTGAAAGATTTATCAATCATAGAAACATGTGCAACTAGATGTTGGTTTGAGTTATGCTGCAGCTTTGATCTTTGATATTTAAATGTTAAAGAATAGTCCTTTGAAATCATTTGAGTACACTAAGCAAGTTTTGAGTCAGACAAGGTATATAAAGCACATTATGAATATACTTGGTACCTTGCTTGGAGTGAACAATATCTGAGCCCTCTCCTTGTGTTTCTACCACTTGATCATTTCAAAGCCTACTTTAGTGTTGACAAACTTGTCTAGGTTGCTGAACAAGCCTTCATCATACACATATGTGACTAGTACAACCATTGTCAACATACTAGATATATTTGCTTAAGTTGTGAAAAACATGAGAAGTCATAAACAAATTAGTTTGCTGCTCCTCCCTTTTATCTGTATAATTAGCATTTGTGTTTGCTCTTCTTTTCCCCTTGTTTGATTTTTCTTGACCCAGTGTCCCAACTTTTGCTATTCTTATATTCTATCTTAGTTTTATCTTTAAACCTACAATATTTTTCCAAGTGATTCATTCTTTCATATGTTACAAGGAGGAAATCTATTTCTTCTTCCAAAATTTTTTGGGGTGTCTACAGCTTTACCCTTTTTTAACTCATTCTTCTTGTATCTCTTCCCATGATGCTTCATTTTTTGTCTAGCCTGGAATGCACCTTCAATAGTCTCCTAATCTCTCAGACTTGTTCTTTCTCTCGTACATATAGCTTGCTGATAAGTTCTGCAATAGTGAGCTTTGTTAGATCCAATACTCCTCAATTGTTGGAATCTTATCAACAGTTTTTCAACTAGTTTGTTGTCTGGAAATGATTCTCCAAATAACTTTATTTTGTTCACAATCTTCAACGCTTTCCAGCATGCTCTTTGACAATCTCACTTTCCTTCATTTTATGTTTCTCAAACTCCCTTTTCAGTACAAGAAGTTTGACATTTTTCATCCTATCACTGCCTTCATACTCCTCCAACTTTTTCTAAATTTCTTTAGGAGTTTTACAAGTCATTACACTCAAGAAAATAGTTTCTGACGAGGCTGAGCGCAGACATATTAAAGCTCTTGACTTCTTGGCCTTTTGCTCTTCATAATTTTTAAGTTGCACAATAGTTGGATCATCTCCAAGTGGAGTTGGTTCTCCACCACTTTCAACAACTTCCCACAAATTCAAGGCCTTCAAGTAGGCTTTTATTTTAATCACTTATACCTGATAGTTTTCTTCAATTAACAATGAACGTTCAATCCCTAAAAAATTATTTTTGGATATACTTCTGTTGCTCTCAAGATATTTAATTTCTTTTTCTTATAATACTCCATATTGTATTCTCACATATCTTTCAAGAATGAGAATTTTAATACCATTTGATATATATATATATATATATATATATATTTAGGAATGAGAAAGTATATATAAGAACTTAACTTTTCCTTATTATTTTGTATTGAAAATACGAAACATGTTTATATCGAAAAGAAGATACATGCATATAGTAAACCACACATAAATATAGTTACATACACATTAAAATTCATGTAACCACATACACATTAAAATTCATGTAGTTATTTAATGTATACATGCACTTTAATATAAATATGTACTAAGAAAAGTGTTAATACATTTGCAAAAACAACATAATATTAAGGATAAAGTTTGCGACCTGATTAAGATATGTATAACTTGATTATAACTTTCAAATACTTAGACTGTAAAAAAATTAAAAAAGAAAGATTTATACTTATAGCATTGTTATTCAATAATTCAAACTCTATAAAATGTGGAAGAGCAGAGAAGAAATGATCAATTGGGGATCACCTCCACCACGATATGCAGAATATCTCAACTTTTCATAATTCTCAATCCAAACGAAAAGGACCATTGCCCTCAGCAATTTCCAATCCAAAATTTCTTAAATTTATTTTCAAACTCATGCAAAGTTTAGTTAGATGCGGATAAAATTTTATTTTTTTTATAAAGTAAAAATTTTATTAGATTACAATAAAAACTGATCTTTTATAAAATTTTATATGAAACTGAAATAAAATATAAAAAATTTATTATTTTTAACGAACTTTAAAATGCATTGTTCTAATATCCCAAAAAATTTTGTATAACATCAATTTTTATATTCTTCACTAAAGAAGGTTTTCATCAGTTTACAAACAAATTCTGTAAAATTTCTAATTTCTTCCAACCACAGGCTAGAGTTGCCACTTCCAAAGCTACGTATACACTTCTCAGCTCAGGATTGTACAGACAACAAGGAAATCTTCTATGGTTGCATGAACCGGAGTACATATAAATATGGAGTAGTTAGTTTATGCACCCAAAGGGCCACATCTAAAAGCAATTATCTAACCAGTAAAAGCTTCGCTACTGGCCACATTATAAAAGGATCTAATATTTTCAAAATAACTATGAAAGTTTGAATTGGAATTCAATGCCAAAGGCAGTCACAAATGCTTTAATTTCAAGACCTTCAAATTTACAAGGGCCATTATTTTTGCTGTCTCCAATGTGTTTTCAAGAATTTTTTTAAAAAAAGCGGCATGACGCTCAATGAAAGAGGGAAAATGTGTTTAAATAGTTTGTATCAATAGAAAACTGGATTCAACTTCTTAGCAAAACTTGGTTTCATGGGATTCTATTCCTCAACAATCCACGTATTTCTATAGCTATCCTCCCATCTTTTCTTGCAGAGGGGAAAAAAAAAAAAAAAAAATCCTCAAGCCAAGGTGTTTTGTTTCACCAGAAAAGAGGGGGGCAGAAACTGCACCTTCACCAAGGCCTAATTGTCTCGCTCATATTCATCATGTTCCAACGAATTCTGAGGCAATTCAACAAAAAAAACCATGGGCCAAAAGCAAAAAGTCGTTAAAACTTCTTTACAGCATTTCTAAAAATAATAATTTTACAAATTAAAAAAATTATTGGTTCGGTGGAGATATTTTATGGTGTAAGAATTAGTTAACAGAGCTTTGAAAAGTACTCTCAACTAAGCATGTTTTAGACACATCACGCCGTAAATAAATGGCAGTAATAGAGTAGTGAATGACTGAGAAAAAAGGAAGGGAAGAATGGAGGATATTTCTTCAAACATGTCAAAATGTCAAGGAATAGCAGTTAAATAATCCACCAGTTGAATTATGAGGATCATCATTCTACCTGCTAGCAGTAAGTGAAACACAAATTTCTCTACTTGGTTCATTGCCTTATGTTCATCCTTGAATATACGTACAACAGATTCCGTTAGAAACAGGCACACGAGTTAATGCAAACAAATGAGAAAAAGAGAAACACTTTTGAGGTTTAGTTAGCTGTTTCTGGGGCAAATCATTTACAAACTCTGGAATTAAATTTCAGTGTTATTGATTATGAGATACTAAGAAATTGAAGCACCACAAATATGAACTATAAACTGCAAAGGGAACAACATAATGGAACTCAACAGTTCTCTCTGAATGCTCAACACCATCAGAAGGTTTTGCAGTACACAATCTGCCATCAGAAAAATTCAATAACTTAAGACATTCTCTGGATATAAATAACACCTCACTCCTAACTTGAATTCAAAAAACAAGAAAAGAAAAAGATAAAAGCATCCAGCGCCAATGAAAAGGAAGCAGCTGGTATAAAGAGAAGTCAACACAGTCAGAAGATGAGTTCAAAGATTCTGGATTTGATATCTGCAACCAATGGAGGACTATGTTTCTAGTTTCTGATACCATAAACCCTGTTTTACAGAAAAAGAGAAAACAGTGCACTCATGGCAGTTTTACTAAGTTAATTCTTTATAAATCCTTAGCCACTTTCAAAGAACAACAATAAGCAATGTCGGAATAGAACATGAGTTTTGTCAGTTGCCAGGCATGAAATGAAGCTTTAATTTCATTAATTAACCATGAGGACAACTTTACTCTAAAACCCATTATCCATGTCTAAGAACAAGCCAAACCAAATAAGTAGCGAAACAAAATTGAACCTTCCGTTTATAAATGGTATAAAATTAACCATCTAGACCCTATCAGAGTATTACTAATTTAGGAATAGATAGAACAAAGAAAAGGAATATGCTTGATATTTCTAACTGGAACACAGCAGAGAAACTGTCTGTGATGATCATAGAAACACTAACAGCACTAGCATTAGA